CCACCCTTTTATTTACTTTCTGCTTAGTACATTCGTGCAGCTTCCCACTCCTCAGAGCATAAGCCACCAAGCTGACTTTCAAGCCTCTCTGGGATGCTATATTGCTTTCCATAACCACAGGGCCTCATTCTTCCACTTCTGCTAGAGAAATGTTCGTACAGCCTTAAAGAATTAACTGTCTCCCCCAGTCAAACAAACACACTCAGTAGCGGACTGGGTAGAATAGCAAGTGCATGCTTTGGAATGCACATGTGTATCTTAGTTGTTCGTAGCCGTAAGCCATGTATCTTCAAATGGGTTGATTTCCACATAGTCCAGAATATGAACTTTTAAAATACGTGATTAAAAAGCACATTAAGGAAGAGGTGGGTGGTAGGAACACAGCTGTTAATTACCACTACTAAGAACTTTAAATATATCACATTATTACATATTAGTTGTGTTAATTTTTGGAAAATAAAATGGAACCAGAAGATTCAATTTCCCCTCCCTTGAATTTTAGGACATTTGTCCACCAAACCGGGATTAGTTTTGCATTCTGTAATTTTCAATCTGTAATGTACACCAGGCCTCTGCAAACAGAGCAACTTCAAAGGGGAGGAAATAGGGCTACAGGAACGGGAAGGGCTGCAATCCATGAATGGAGACTAGCTGGGGAGTTAGGAGAAGAGGTAACAGGGGTGTCCAGGACTATTAATACCATGTGAAATTAATTAACAACACAGACACAGCATGGTCCAGTAAGTCAGAAACTAGTTGGGAGTCAGGGGTCCCAGACTCTAATTCTGGCTCTGCCACAAACGTGCTTTGAGACCAGGGGTAGTAATTGTTCCTCACTGCGCCTCATTGTCCCTAACCTGTAGAACTGGAATGCTGTACCTTGCCTGGCCTTGTAAAGCGTTCTGAAGCCCACGAATGAAAAGTAGGTTTCACTCTACTGTCACAGAAGCATGTGCAGTGCTTTTCACTGAACCAGCCAGTAAGCTGTGAAAGAGCAGTGCTCAAGCCAGAACAATGCCTTCTTGGGCCAATAGGAAGGGTTTGATTCCTTGCTGATACTGCTGCCCTCCTTTAAATGCTTCAGCAGAAGTAAGGGTATTTCGAAATAGTGCCATAACGCAAATATGCAAATGAAGCACAGGGTATTTAAATACCGGCTTCATTTGCAATTTTGAATGTCTTCATTTGCATCCCTCTCTCGAAAGAGGGTGCAAGTGTAGACATACCCTAACATACAAATGGCAGCCCTCTCCAGAGACCTGATTTTCAGATGCACAAATCTAACTGAAGCCAACAGGAGCTTAGTTTTCTCAGTACCAGTGTTCCCTGGAAGCTGGGTGTTCATACAGACACTCAGGAGAGATTCCAGTGCTGCCCAGCTGATTAACGGAGTGCCTACAGCTAGGTTTTGTTTCTACTCGGGATGCACATTTGCACATGCCTAGGTGCACGTAAAAAAATTTATTTTGCACATGGGTGGAAAATATTAGAGGGAACATTGCTCAGTACCTCTGAAAATCAGCTATCAGTCTAAATCAGTGTTTCTTAAACAGTGTCAACAGTGTTTCTAAAACTGTAGTTGGAGGTGTGCTGTGGAGAACAGAGTTCAAAATGCCCGTCCTTAAAGGAGCAGGTGACCTTTTTTTTTGTTCTGTTCAACAACTCCCCCCCAACCTTTTTTTTTTTTTTTTTTGGCTCAACAAAAAAATCCTTGGTGTTCTGCATAAAAAAAAATTATTGCTTCGTGTTCCTCGGTCTTAAAAAGTTTAAGAAACACTGGTCTAAATGCTATCTCCTGACATGTGTCGCCTGGTGGCAAAGAGGCTGAATCAAGACCTTCACGCCTTTTGCTTCCATTAATGAAGAGCAGAGCTATAGCATGCTACCCTCTGGTCTGCTGACCATCTCCGATGGGACACACAGAATGTATTTAAATATTAAGATTCTGCAGATTGGGACAGAGAAATGATCTGAATAAAACTTTACAACTGACTTTGCCGACAAGCACAATGGGGCTACAAATGCACCTCACATCTGCTGCCAAAGCTGATGCGCAAATGCCTTTGTGACTTGTAAGAAGGTATTATCCTGTCACTGGGCAAATACCCTAATTCTGCATATCCCATTCAGCAGGCCCCCGCAATAGAGATAATTGAAATTCATAAAAGGGAGAAGGAAGAAAAGACTGGTGGAAAGGAAGCCAGATGGAGGGAGATGAAGGATTCTGTTTCTAGATGAAGGGGAAAGACCGTTCTCAAATGGTAGAAGTGGGTAAGACAGAATTGACCAGTCCATTGGCAAGTAAACGCAGTTGGTGCCTGATTCAAAGGCTATGGGTGTTTGGGCTTTGAAGCTCTGGTTTTGTACTGATGAGACATGTTGAGATTACCCCATCCAAGCCATTCTTATGCCTAATATTTTTAGATTACATTTTAAACTTGATGCATAACTTTTTATTTTCTGTGCTCTCTTCCTCACAAGATGCCTGCAGGCCAATTTTATTCCAACAAGATCTGGATAGAAATATTTGTGCTATTTGTTTGTCTTTCATCTTGTCTCATTTAATTATTGATGAGTTTTTCCCTGCCGTGACAGATAACCTGCACAATAGCAGGGGAGGAAAATTCTGTAAATAAGCCTTTAGAACAGGATAGATTGAAAAGCACAATGCCCACTGCAAATACAAGCTGGAGACCTGGGCATCTGTTGTTAATAACTCCCATGCAACTTTTAGCAGCATTATCCGGCCACTGAGGAAATACTGTAATTCCAGAAATACGATTCAGCAGGCTTCCAAATTAGGGGTAATTGAAATTCACAAAGGGTGGGGTGGAGGGGAACCCAGCTGCGAACACAGCCCTGAGCACAAGGAAACTTCCCAGTTGAGCCTTTCTTTATCTTTCTGGCTTGAATAGGCAGCCATCCAACTCCACTGGATCATACTGGAAAATACATCCTCATCCAGCCACACAGGAGGCTGTCTACGCCTATGCAGAGCCCCATTAAAGTCAACAGAGATTCCTGTTTGAATCTGATCACACCATTAGGGCCTTATTGACTGGGAAAGGAAAATCTACAATTAGCAGCTTCCACCATTGGAAATACAGATCAGCCAGAAGATACTGGGGGATGGGGGGAAGGGGAGGAAAAAAAAAAAACACTGGATCAGGGCATAGCTGCAACAAAAAAAGGCAAATAAAATCCAAGATCCAAAAGACCGTAGCAAGCACGTCATTAGCGCTTCTTTCCAGCTATGCAGTGAGGACTAGAATTCTAAACTGCTACCTCTAAGATACCATATGTTGGCTGATCCCTGTGCATGAAGCAGCTGATCACTGTCTTGGTCCAAAATGCCACAGCATACAACGATGCTGCAGTAGTGTGTCTTAGTACTGGGGAATACAGCGTGGGTGGCTTTCATAAGGGCTAAGACCAACTCAGCTACTAGACAGGGTCACCTTTATGGGGTATTTCTAGAGACAGGTAACTTTTCGACAGAATTTTCAAAGCAACACACGGAATTCCCTCGCCAGGCTATAATTCTTTATCCAACCCTATAGCATGTTCTAAAACAGGGGTGGGCAAAAGGGCCTCCACGGACCAGAACTGGCCTGCCATGCCAATCAGTGCCTGGGGGCGGGGGGGAGCACAAAGTTTCCTCTGCCCTGCCTGGAGCGTGCAGTGCTTTGAAGTGCCGCACGTTCCTGGTAGGGTGGGCGGAGACTTCGAGTGCTCCCCCCCCTCCAAGCCCTGATTAGCCTGGGGGTGGGGGAGCATGGGAAGTCTCCTCTCACTGCCAGGGGAATGGGTGCCTAGGGGTATTGCGGGGGAAGGAGGGCAAAGAAGCTCCCCAGTCCCCAGACTAATCATGGTCTGTGTGTGGGAAGGCCCAGAAGCATCCTGTCCCTGTCCCTTCTGTCTGAGGCCCCACCCCTTCCGGTGCGGCCTGGGAACACATCCAAAATGTTTGAAGTGTCCCCCGGCAAAAAATTATTGCCCCCCTGATCTAAAAAGGTCTACAGAAAAGAGATCATTGTCTATTCATCTGTATAGTACTTTCACAATTCTGTGGGATTTTAAACCTAGATGTGTTTTATCACTGCCAAGTTCCATAGGACTTTTCCCACAATGGAGTTGAAGATTATTCCCTTTGGAAAAGGTGACCTAATGAAACTGTTAGCATTCTATGAGAGAGAGAGAGACAGAGGGTGGGTCATGGGTGTGTTTACACTGGTAAATGTTAGAAACTAAAAGACAAATCTAAAAGTATAGATGCTAGGGGAATTTAGGAATCACTAGCAGAACCGTATCCTGCAGAATGCAAGGCAAAGATGGTCTAAATTGCTAGGCCTGGACAGGCAGAACTCTCTCCGTTGGTTTCTGAAGAGTGATGAGATTAAGGGGCATAGTGAGAAAGCGGGAAGATGGGATCACAGTGAGCTAAAGGTAGACTGGCACGTTGGGTCGCAAGGACATTTCTTATTTTTTAAATTTCTTAGGCCAGGTCCACATTAGAATTTTCAAAGGCCAGGAGGGTCGGTTTAAGGTACGCAACTCTAGCTATGTAAAATACCGAGCTGGAATCAACTTACCTTAAGCCAAGACGTCTTCACAGAGGGAGGCCAAAGGGAGCAAATGCTTCCATCGGCTTCTCTTACTTTTTGCGACTGCAAGGAATACTGGCGCCAACCAGAGCACCTCCAGAGTTCGATTTAGTGGGTCTTAACTAGATTTGCTAAATTGAACGCCAGAAGATTGATCTCCAGCTCTACAAGTGGAGACAAGGCCTTATACTCTGCACTTCCTGTTGAATGACTAGATGCTCCTGTCCGAGCCTGAACATGTACAGTGCAATTTTTAGCCTGAGCCTGCAGACCCAGGCCAGCCATGTGTTTTTAGCAGCACCCCCAACACAATGTGGCCTAGCATCTAGATCAGGGAAAAGCGTCAAGCGACACCTGGGTTTTAGTCCCAGGTCTGCCACGTCAACACTGTGATGCCGGGTGAACACTTTCCACCTCAGTGCCTCCATCTCCCCATCACCTTGTGCTACGTGTCCCCTGGCTCGCACATGCCTTTCACCGCACTGGTGGATGGTTACATGGCAGAGGCAAGAGTACGTCTCCTGATTTTAAATGGAAAGCCGAGTTCTTGATGGGGTATTTTCCTGCTGTTGTAAGCAACCATTAATTCCTCTTCCAGACCTAAACACTTACCAGGAAGACCAGGCAATGCAACAGCAGAGTGTAGAAAAATGCAATAGTACGAGCTGTCTTGTTGGACAGGATCAGCCGGCCCTACAGCAAGATCAAGGGGAGAAACAGAGTCAGTCCAGTTAAAGCAAAATGACACTGGCTGCGCTATTATTGCATTAACCACTAGAGGGGCTCCAGCTAAGCTCAGGACCCAATGTGCTAGGCACCGCACACACCCAGCAGGAGGCAGTACCTGCCCTACAGAGCTTCCAGGTTAACTGGCCAAGACAGGCAAAAGGGCGGAGAAAGGAAAGATTCCGATTTCCATTTTACAGATGGAGAACAGAGGCACCAGGAGTATGCAAGTCCCTTGCCCAGGGTCATACAGGTTCTGTGGCAGAGCTGGCACCCGAACTCGGTCTGAGCCATCCTCCATAGGACCTTCCTCTCCTTTTGACCCTTTTAAAGCTCCTGCCCTGAAGGGGCTTGATCCTTCCAGGCAAGTAAACAGATCTCAGTGGACAATCTCAGGCAGATCTCAGCCTGCACCTGGCATTACCGGAGACACGGACAGGGTGAGGAAAGGGCTCCGTCATTTCCTGGCCCTTCTGGAGGGCCTGCCAGCCGGGTCCAATCATGGTGGCTGTTTCGGAGGTGTAGGTTCTTACCCAGGGGACTGGACATTCCCAACAGACCTCCTGCCGGCTGATCATTGCCATTCGCTACCTGCCTGGTCTGGCGGCCTACAGATGCGCTAGAGAGGGAAGGCTCTGTATTCCAGTCCTAACTACCAGGGCGGGCCAGAACACCACGGATTTGTTTAAAGTTGTTTGCTTTTAAAATCTTTCTGGCAAGTTTCAGAGGTCACCAGCTCTTTGCGCCTGGTCAAGGAAGACCATTCTCCTGATCACCTCACTCTGTTTTCCCAGATCTCTCTCACTCACTCTGGCCCACTTCATTTCCTCTCTGTAACCCCACGCAGCCCTGTGTGCTCTGTGTACCGTAAGCAAGGTCTCATTTGGAGGCCTTATAGCCCATGCAGCAGACCTCACACGCCTGCCCAGACGGACAAAATGGAGGCCTGAAAGGATGGTTAAGGGGTAAGTCTTGCAAGGTGCTAAGCCGGATCAGGGCTTTGTTAGCAACGGATAGGTCTGCACTAGGGAGGTAAACAGGTTAGCCCAGGGGTTCCCAAACTTTTTGACACGGGGACCAGTAAATCCATTCATGAACTTTTGGAGGACCAGTGACATTAATTTGCATATTTGCATATTCATTAATCAAATGATGACTATTCAAATAAGTTGTTTCTGGTCCTCCCAAATCCCCCAATGCCAGCTTTAGAAAAGCTTTTGATATGGTCACCCACAATATTCTTGTCCTCAAGTTAAAGAACATGGATTGGGTAAATGGAGTGTAAGACAGACAGAAAGCTGGTTAGACCATGGCTGACCTGGAACAACGCTTCCTCAGCTCTCGTCCACTTACATCCCTTCTCTACCTACGCTACATCGATGACATCTTCATCATCTGGACCCATGGGAAGGAGACTCTGGAAGAATTTCACCATGATTTCAACAGCTTCCACCCCACCATCAACCTCAGCATGGACCAATCTACACGGGAGGTCCATTTCCTGGACACCACGATACAAATAAGTGACGGTCATATCAATACCACCCTATACAGAAAACCTACCGACCGCTATACTTACCTGCATGCCTCCAGTTTCCATCCCGGACACACCACACGATCCATTGTTTACAGCCAAGCACTGAGGTACAACCGCATATGCTCCAACCCCTCAGACAGAGACCTACACCTACAAGACCTTCAACAAGCATTCTGTAAACTGCGATACCCACACGAGGAAGTGAGGAGACAGATTGACAGAGCCAGACGTGTACCCAGAAGCCTCCTGCTACGGGACAAGCCCAAGAAAGAAACCAACAGAACACCACTGGCCATCACCTACAGTCCCCAGCTAAAACCTCTCCAACGCATCATTAGTGATCTTCAGCCCATCCTGGACAATGACCCCTCGCTCTCACAGGCCTTGGGAGGTAGGCCGGTCCTTGCCCACAGACAACCCGCCAACCTGAAGCATATTCTCACCAGCAACTACACACCGCACCATAATAACTCGAACTCAGGAACCAATCCTTGCAACAAACCTCGGTGCCAACTCTGCCCACATATATACACCAGCAACACCATCACAGGACCTAACCAGACCAGCCATACTGTCACTGGTACATTCTCCTGCACATCCACCAACGTAATATATGCCATCATGTGCCAACAATGCCCCACTGCTATATACATCGGCCAAACAGGACAGTCCCTACGTAAAAGAATCAATGGACACAAATCTGATATTAGGAATGGCAACATACAAAAACCTGTAGGGGAACACTTCAATCTTCCTGGACACACAATTGCAGATCTAAAAGTAGCCATCCTGCAGCAAAAAAACTTCAGGACCAGACTTCAAAGAGAAACTGCTGAGCTACAGTTCATCTTTAAGTTTGACACAATCAACTCTGGATTAAACAAAGACTGTGAATGGCTTGCTAACTACAAAAGCAGCTTCTATTCTCTTGGAATTCACACCTCCAGATCAGCTGCTAGAAGTGGGCCTCATCCTCCTTGATTGGATCCACCTGGTCATCTCCAGCCTGATCCTGGCCTGCATATTTATTCCTGCCTCTGGAAATTTCCACTACATGCATCTGACGAAGTGGGTCTTTGCCCACGAAAGCTTATGCTCCTACACTTCAGTTAGTCTATAAGGTGCCACAGGACTCCTCGTCGCTTTTAAAGTATACTGGAAATATTTATTTTATTAGCAGTTTCTTTGTTTTCTTTTTTATTTCCCTCACGAGCTGGAACCCTTTTTATTCAGTTCTGTTTTTGGCAGCACAAAAATATAAACACATAAAAAACAAACCGAGAAAATACCAGACATAGAACATGTCTGGTATTTTCTCGTTAGGTACGTTTTATTATTACTAGATGTGTCAGTTTGTAGTTTTGAACTGCCTGCCTGGTAGATGTGCTCAGGCTGCATGAGTGTGTCTACCAGCCAGACAGTTTGCAACTACTCGAGGAGGCGGGAGGGGGGCACAATAGAATCCCCGTGCCGGACTCACTCATGCTTTGTGGGGGGGAAGGGGAGCAGCCCCCCA